AAATCTTTAATAAAAGTGAGGGTAGTATTAACTTCACAGGATTGTTGTAAGGATTATTAACAATGATATATGATAGGTGTTGGTGGGAATACTTTGTTTCTAAAACTATTTCCTTCAGTAGTTGCTACTTAATCCAAGAATACTAACAACTAGCCTAAAAATTATCCATGTCCTTTTTCTATCTATTCATTTTTTCATAATTTTTAGATACTAAATTTCAATCCTTATGGCAACAGTCCGGAAGCACACTCACCATCTTCTTTGACGGCCCCCTTTCATTTCTCAAGCCCTTAACGTGGCATACGCAAATGCATCTCAGCCTCCAACTTTCTTTCTTAATCTGTTTCATTTACCTTTGAACCAACTATCTTACTGGGGTAAGAATAAGCATTCTATTTGGTTCTCAATTTCTAAATATATCCAACATCAAGATATAGTGATTCTTAACTCTTAATTTCTATCAATGAGAAAATTAATAATCCATAAACAAAATCATAAATTATTATATTTGCAGAAATTGCACTATAACATGAAAAATTCTTTGAAAACATAATCACTGCCAAATTTATCTATGTTTAAAGTTTATATAGCATGTTCTCTTAACTTCTTTTATAAAACATAGCTAATATTGCTATAGCTAATTATTAAGTATAGATATTTCCTAAACATAATTCTTTTTAAGAAAGAAAGATGGCAAGAAGAGAGAAGAGCAGAAAAAGGGAAAAGAGGAAGGATAAGAAGAAATAGAAGAAGAAAGAGAAATTTAAATAGACTCACCTCCAACCACTCTGGTTTATTTCAGTATTTGACTGAATAGATTTAGACATGGAATCTTGACTTCTCAGAGGACGAGAAACTGAATGTGGTATTGGCCTTCAAAGAAATAGGTCTTATTAAATATTAATAGTTTGTTTACAAATTCAGAAATGTAAAATGTATATGTATATGAATAATAGCATCAGTCAGTAACAGACATACATTCATCGGTTTATATATTTCCACATACCCTGTGTTCATTGTTTTTGATAAAGGAGGCAACTCTGGACTCACAGCTTCCCAGGCCCAATCTTAAAAGATTTAAGTAGCATAAATAAAAGAAAGAAAAAATATTGAAAATTTAGACTTCAGTAACACTTTGTTGTGGAATTTGTCACAACTTGCTTTGTCTAGATGACTTTCTTTCACATTATAAGTGAAAATAGTTTAATCAGTATCTTTTCCATAGTTATTACTAGTATAATATCTTGTGCTCTATACATAAATTCAGTGTAATCCAATGTTTCTCAAACTTTTTTGATCCCAACCTACAGCAAAAAAATACATCATAACCCAGAACATATGTATGTATGGTGTGTGTGTGTGTGTGTGTGTAGAGGAGCTCTGGTGGCATAGTGCCTAAGGCATTTGAATTTGACTGCTAACCAGAAGGCCAGCAGTTCAAACCCACTAGCCACTCCTCAGAAAGAAGATTGGGCAAATCTACTTCCATAGTGATACTGCCTCGGAAACCCAAGGTGGGGTCACTGTGGGTCAGATCTGACTTGACAGCAGTGAATTTGGTTTTTAGGAAGATGGAAAGGGAATACAGCAAAATTTCCACCATTGGTTCTTATCCTTATTATCTGTGGCACCCACCACCACCCACCCATTGACCTCCAGTCAGATCTGACCCCTCCTTGGGTTTCCGAGGCAGTATCACTACAGAAGTAGATTGCCCAACCTTCCTTCTGAGGAGTGG